CCTCCAGATCCCCATGTGTTTCAGAAGGACTGGACCCGTGGGCTCCTCACTAACATGGCACAAGGGCATTCGTTATGTAGGTGTGAATTACCAGGAGCCTGCTCCACAGGGAAACCAACCTCCTGGCTACCCATGGGCTCCCATCAATCTACAAGACAAATGGCTGTTTTCATTTGACTTGTAACTAAAAGAGGGAGTTACTCTTGTGGCTCTTGGTTCTCCCTCTCTCCCTCCGCCCCCTCCACCTGGCCTCTATTCCAGCTCCTGCTGTTTCCTCAGTTGGATTCTGTTGAAACCTCTTTCTGTAGCTGACAAACATACTCCACAGTTGCCTCGTGAGCCCACAGACCATTCCCCTACTGCTCACCACCAATTTCAGAGTTGACCTGGGCTTGAAGATAGATCTCAGCCATCTCCCTCACTTCCGAGACCCTTCTCATTTGAAAGCAGAGTCCAAGGGGGTTAACTCCAGACCAAGTGACCTGGTTACAATTGTCCTCTGCCTGTGATCAACCCTTTACAGTATTTAGGACTCTACAGTGTTCAGTACTCAGCAATGTGCCCTGCAATGGCGTATCACCATCCCGTGACAGATGGGTAGAAAGAGGCCTGGGACTCAGTGTTCATTCTTAATCAGCACCAGAACTTGAAGCAGATCCTGTGTGGGAAACGACACAATTGCAGGGTCTCACAAGGTCTTCTCTTGGAATGGTATTTACAGGTCACAGTGGAGATCCAGCCCTATAGGGTCCTTTCCTAATTTATACAGGCTGGATGGGAGAAAGTTTATGGAGTGGATAGCCTTTTCCCTGACATGCTGAGTCTAACCTGAGCTCACAGACCTGGAGGGTATGGGTGTTGATGTTAGACAGACTAAGAGGAATTGGGGACCTTGTCTTAAAGCAGAGGGAGCAAAGGGAGCCATGTCCCACCAGCTCCCCTCCCCGCTCCCCTCGGTTACGATTCCCAAACGTTGGGGGCTAGGGCAGAAGGAGGCTTAGTTTTCATGGTTACTTTTTCCCATGCCCAGTTGCAGCTAGCTCAGCTAATTGGCCAGAGAGGGAAAGAAAAAAAAAATAGTGCAAATCTGCAAATTAATAAAACAGCCTTCAAGCAATCGCCAAAATATGTAGGAATCATGAAGTAATTAGAAGCGTGAGGATTTCTGCCATGCTCCCTGCTTCCAGGCTCAGCTCAGCATCTGATCGCTTTAGGAGGCCAAGGGCTGGCAGGCTGTGGGGAGTGGGAATTCTTTCCATTGCGTTTTGATCTCACCTCCCTGGGAGCCTGGGTTCTCTTGACATTTTTTCAGGGTCCTGGCAGTTCTCAAAGGACCAGCTAAACTCAAACAGGCCTGGACTGTCTGCAGCCTTGGGAGTCTGCACAGCACGTTGTCCTATAGCCTTGGTGTAAGGCTGTAAGATTTCAGGAAGTGCTTTGGGGACCCATGGTTATACTGAATCTTTTTTTTTTCCTAAAGCAATCTCATTTTACACACCAATGCCAATTCCCTATCCTCCCCCCACCTTCTCCCCATCCACTCCTCAGAGAGGGTGAGACCTTCCATGGGGAGTCAACAAAGTCTGTCACAGCACTTGAGACAGGATCAAGGCTCCCCCACCCCCACCCATATCTAGACTGAGCACTGTATCCCTCCATGGGGAATGGGCTCCAAAGAGCCAGTTCATGCACTAGGAATAAATACTGGTTCCACTGCTAGTGGTCCCACAAACTGCCCAAGCCACGCAACTGTCACCCACATTCAGAGGGCCTAGTTCTGTCTTATGCAGGTTCCCCAGCTGTCAGTCCAGAGTCAGTGAGTTCCCACTTGCTTGGGTCAGCTGTCTATGGGTTTCCCCATCATGGTCTTGACCCCTTTGCTCATAAACTCAAGGAGTTCAACCTGGTGCTTAGCAGTGAATTTCTACACCTGCTTTTGGTCTTACTGAATCTTACTCTCAGCAAATATTTTTTTGGAAAATGTTTGAGAAAGAAACTGAGGCTCAGAGAACAGGAGGATATACCCCAGCTCCAGGTTGTGATTGTAACAGCAGTGGGGCTGGAACCAACCTGCCAACCCCTCCCCCTCCCCCTTGCCCCTTCCTGTGGCCTTTTCTGTATCTCTCAACAGCACTAGACATTTTCATACCCCAGTTTTCCTGACTAACTGCCAATTTCAGATCTGTTTGGTCATGATGTCAAGCTCAGATAAGTAGTTCAAACACAATGTTTGTTTAATAAATTGAGGCTCTGGCACCTGTAGTTATTCGTTGATTTTTATTTTCCATCTCATTTTCTATCCAGATTGATCTTGGGAGCAGAAATGTGGGAAACAGCCTAGAAAGGGATTTCAAGAGACTTAAGCCTTATCATATACCTGGGGGGGGGGGTAGGTAGGGACACTGTGAGCTTAGAGTTTCTTGTTTGCGCTTTCTCAAGGGTAAGTGCTTAAGTTCACGGATACACTAGAGGGCTTTGCTTAGAACTGAGATGCAGCGTACCAAGGGCCGGAGATTCAAAGAGCAGAACCCAGAGAGAATCAGGTAACGAGCTTGACGTGTGTGGCTAATTCCCAGCCGGCAGCAGAAAGCTCCTGGGTGGATGGAGTTTACACAGTTTGCAGCCAGACTGAGCAAACAAGAGCGTGATTAAGTTACACGCCTTGGCTGGCTCCATCACCAGAATAGAAATGTACATGTTCATTTAGGATGGAAAGTTCTCAACAAAGTAGTTGGTACTTCTTCTAAGGACTTGTCCCCAGTCCTCAAGTCCAGCCAACACCAAAGCAACCCATGGTAGAGGAGATTGGGGAATCAGAGGCACTCAGTGCCTGTTTACCGGGGTACAATTGCTCAGGAATCAGTGGGAATTTCAGGACAATGATAGGTGTATCATGTGACGTGTGGTCCTGAGTTTGTGTGTGCAGGGATTAGAGGGCATGGGTGATGACCTTGGAGCAGCAGAGTAGGATTTGAGGGCCGAGTGGCCCAGACTGATCCACATGCTGCCCAGCTGGACGCTGGGAAGGCAGAGACTTTTAACTCACGCTTGCAGGGATGCTGTGTTTGTTACAGGGAGATCTGGAGTTTCCTCCGGTCCTTACTCCTGCATTGTCTCGATTCTTGTGTTCCCCAAAGAGGAGAGAGAATTCATATGGGAGACAGAGGTAGAGTAACTAGCCAGGAGTTTAATTAGAGCAAGCAAGAAAGCAAGGACACACTTTTTAGTAAAAGATCAGGCTGGGCTAAGCAATGATGGCTCTGATCCTGGCAGTTGTGCGGCTCACATTTCCCTTCTGTTTCCCTTTCCTCTGTTGTCTCCTTCATCTTGGCATGTTGCGGAATATTAGTTGAAGATGTGTTCCATTTGTTTGTGCTGTGGAACATTGGTTTAATGATGCAAAGATGTGCTGCATTCTTTCATGTTCTCTTTGTTTAACTCTGTGAAGCTGTGCTACTTTGCCTGTCTAAAACACCTGGTTGGTCTAATAAAGAGCTGACAGCCAATAGCAAGGCAGGAGCAAGGATAGGCGGGGCTGGCAGGCAAAAAGAATAAATAGGAGAAATCTGGGAAGAAAGGATTAAGGAGAAAAAGGAGAGAGCAGATACCAGGGACCAGCAACCCAGCTACCCAGCGAGCCGTGGACTAAGAAGTAAAGAAAGATACATAGACTAGAGGAAGATAAAAGCCCAGAGGCAAAAGGTAAATGGGAAAATTTAAGGAAAAACTGGTTAGAAACAAGCCAAGCTAAGGCTGGGCACTCATGAGAACGAATAAGCCTCCATGATTATGTGGGAGCTGGGTGGTGGGCCCCCAAAGAACAAAGAGTAAAAAAACAAAAACCAACTACCTGGGCATTTCCAGGAAAGGAGAGTTGCTTTGTTGCTTTTCTCAGAAGCCCGTTTTACCCAGAATGCAGTCTGCTAAGTAGGTGTGTAAGGAATAAGGACATTTATAGGGGTTTGAGTGCCTCTAAATTTAAAAGGAGACAAGATGGCAGTGCACTGTGGTGCTCCTTTGGCTGACCCATCTCCAGACAGCACGGCCGTCTTCATGTTCTATTTCAGGGGTCCCAGACTGGTCTGTCTCTAATGATTGCCCCACCTAGTGTTCTTTCTGCCTTGTCTTGAGGGGCCTATTGACCACTCCTTCCTACACCTAACCGCCTACCTAAGAAGTTGGATATACAGAATCTGCTCCCGAGCGGTTAGAATGGAGGCAACAGCAGCCAGCCTCAAGTCAGGCTCGAGAGTTCCGCCTCCACCTGTTTCTTACCCACCAGCCACCGACTAACGACCACACCCTCCACTGTTGGCCGCCTTAGGCCTGTGAGTGTCAGGGCCAGGCCACCAGATTACCAAGGGTGAACCTTTCAGACTTCTCTGGTTTTGATGGAAGATGGAGTCAGGCGAGCCCACCCCTTAGGTACCTTGATCCCAGATTGCTGTTTTAGGAGGATACTGAGGGTAGGGGCAGTGAAGTTGTTTCTCTGTCTAGACCAACCTCTCCCTGTCATCCTGGGGACTCAGGGGCAGCAGAATGTGGGCGAGACCTCGAGCTTCCCTACCCACAGCTGCTCTTGTTATTCCTTTCAGCAGGCACCCTTACACAGCCCCACCTGCTTCTGGCTCCTCTGTGGGCTCTACCTTGGTTTTTCCCATCTGTCCGTCTTCCCTGACTTTGTAGCCTCCGTGCCATTCTACTGCGGCTCCTTTATCCCTTCTGGACCAAGATGTGCAGAGGCTGCAGAATCCCCAGCGCCATGCCTGCCACTTTTCTTGCCTGCCAAGTTTGACTTGTGTCCCCAGAGCAGCACACCCAGCCCGTCCACAGTTACTTATGGGTAGATCCAGACCAGTGAGTGCAATTGTTGGCCTGACATGCGCATTGCTCAACCCAACAGACAGGCTACGCTCTCCCTTGGACCAAGTGTCCTTGTGATTTATTTAATGCTACATTTGGGTGCTATTTTTTTGTTGATTTTACAGTCAGAAACAGCCTTAAACACAGTACTGAAGCGGTATCAAGGCTGCCTCTTTGCTGGCCTGGGAGGAAAGTTCCAGCACCTGACCGAAGATCCTGTAGAGCTCTAGGTCCTTCTTGGTAATCAAGTCCCTGAGTTCCTCCAAGAGGCGTAACACCTGCGCGCTGGCGTCCGGCACCTGCCCGCCGGCATCCGGGGAGGAGATGCCCAGCTCGCCCAGGAGCTGCAGGGTGGTCTTGAGGGCCGGCTCCAGATCATCTAGGAGTTCCTGCCCACTTCCCTGCATGTGGATGGCCTGCTCGGGCAGCTCATGTCGAGTGGTGTCCAAGGCTGTGGCCAGTGTATCGTATTGCTCCTTGAAAAGCTTTGCTACAGCCTGGAGAGGGCCCAGCACCTCCATCTGGGCATCCAGGATGGTAGCCAGCTCCTGATGTTTCTGCTGGAGCAGCAGCTGGAGCCGCAGCTCCAGCACCCGCCGCTGTAGACGCTCCTTCTCACGGCATGAGGCCGCCAAGTCCTTCTCGGCCTTCTCCTCCAGCAGAGTCAGGTTGTTTTCCATCTTCACAGACAGCAGGGTCAGCAGCAGTGTCTGCGACTCCATGTCCATGGTCTCCTGAAGATCCTGTCTCTTCTTGGGAAGGCGTGTCTTTTTCTGAGTGGTAAAGGACGTGGACTCAGCTTTCTTTGACATTGTCCTGTCTAGCTGGGGAGCCGTCCTGAACATGCTTGTGTCTTTGGATGAAAGGTCTAGGTAGGGCGGGGCTGTGCTGTGCCCTTCCAGCATGGTGGACTGCAGGCCTCCTGTTCCCATCACCAGGCTATCTTCTGCCCAGAGAAGAATGCCACGGTCAGTGCCATTGGGCACACACCCCTTGGTTCAATACAGCTTGGGGCCACCAGGACTCTTTCTTCCAGGGTGTGTGGGTGCTAGACTCTTGGGCCTGTGAGCTCCACAGCTGAGGCGAGGGGCAGCTTCTCAGGTCTCTTGTTCTTGGGCATAGACTACAGAACCATGAGCTCGATAGCCTCTTTAATTGCCTTGTTTTTAATAAATTATTTACAGTGTTGAGTGTGACTGTTTGGGCTGAGGTCCTTCCATGCTGGTCCTAGGGATTGAACTCTGGTAACCAGGCATGTAGCCAACATCTTTACTGGCCGAGTCATCTCCAGGAGTCATTTCCTTTAACCTCTGGCAGGAGAAACAAACGCTGTGGCCACAGATCAAAGTCCATGCTGGCCTCCAGGCTCCCCCAGGATCACAAGTACCTATTGTACATCTCAAAACCTCCACCATCACCTGCTGGCTTCCCACCTCCCGCGAGTCCCTCCTCCCAGGTACCCATTAGGTCTCTCTTGAGAGCAAGGTTTTCCCCTCTGCCCCAGATATCCGTTTTCACTATTTCCCTGCTTTATTTCTCTATTCTGTATCTCTTGCTATCTTGATATCACCACTATTCTCTCCCACTCTGATTTCCTGGCCCTGGCCACGTCTAGCCTGCTAGCCGTGTTCAATTTACTACTTTCTCTCTCTGCTCTGGAATCTTCCAAATGCCTCTGGCTCTTCTCTCATATCTACAATAAAAACCTTAACCATATCGTGGGAGCGGTCATATTGGCAGTTTCTTTACTGCACCTCCCTGGTCTACACACACCTTCGACCTCACAATATTGAACCATCAGTGTTAATGAGAAACAGTGTGGTGCATTCAGAAAAAGGAGGAGACTTATCAAAGTGGTCTCGGGCTTTGGTGTTAGTGTGAGCAAGCAGCGTGTCTCCTGTACCAGCAGTGGGTGAGCGTTCCCTAATTCATTGTTCACCGCCACAGCTAACAGGGATCAGCTATATAAATGATTTAAAAACAATGAAGCTGAGTTTCCATCCAAGTGCCGCACACATTCAAACCCGTCTGGCGTCCCAGGCTTCCTACGAGAAGGGGTCTCTGGGCTTCCTCTGCGATACTGTTTTGTGTCAGTGTTTGCATGTTTTATTTGCTACATACACACCCGGACTCTGACACCCCTTGAATTATTACTTTCTAAATCTCCAGCTGGGCCACAAGTCCTAGTAAAACAGAGAGCTGTTGACTTACAGCGTCCTTCCCAGGGAGAGGAACGAGGAAGGCGTGCAGAGCCCAAGGGTGGAGAAAGTGTTTAAATCAAATGCGCTTGCTGATGGAGTCCTAGCCCAGGAAGACGAATACCACAGAGCTCGCATCAGCAAGAAGAGCTTTGTGTGTGTGCGTGTGCGCGCATGTGCATGTGTGTGTGTGTATATGTGTGTGTTAGATAGTATCTGATTCTGAGGAAGGTTTTTCATGCTAAGGGGGAGAGAGCAGATTCCAGCCATCCTGCAGCAGAGCCCAGCATGTGTGCTTTCCAGTCACTTCACATGCATGGCTCAAGCTCTTCTAGAGGGGCTCAGCGCCCACGGACTAGACATTCCTGGGCGGCAGTGGGCTGCATAGGGTATCTGTGGGGAACGGACGCTTGCGCTTCTTCCTCTTCAATTGGAAGACACCAACATGCTTCTTGCTGTTGTTGCTTAATTTCCAAATTATTAGATTCAGGATTTTTCTGGTTAATAGACTGCATTCTAAGGAGCAATTAAGATGTCATCCTTGCCTGTCAAGACATGTTTTCCGATCTTTTCCCCTGGGTCATTTCTGCAACTCTTCTGCCTCTGGGACTTCCTCAACCTTTTCCCTCTTTCATGTCTGTCCTATTATGTCTCTCTTTAATCATCCACTAAGGACAGACTTTGAGTCTAGTTTGGTGATTGTCCATGGACCACAGTGCCTAGTACAGTTCCTAGTGTCTTTTTTTTTTTTTTTTTTTTTTTTTTGGTTTTTCGAGACAGGGTTTCTCTGTGGCTTTGGAGCCTGTCCTGGAACTAGCTCTGTAGACCAGGCTGGTCTCGAACTCACAGAGATCCGCCCACCTCTGCCTCCCGAGTGCTGGGATTAAAGGCGTGCGCCACCATCGCCCGGCAGTTCCTAGTGTCTTGTAGGTGTTTATGATTATTACTATGGTGATGACCTTGGTTATCTGTTGGTTGGATGGAGTAATTTAATGAAAGTCCTAACAGAGGTATAGATCTACATCTGGGTCCCTGAGTAAAGAAGACCTGGGGGTGTCCCTGTCACCCTGTGCTCCCAAATATCTCTGCTCCAATGACCAAAGATTTTGGTTTATGATATGAAAGAGGACGGAAGGAAACAGCCCCTTCTAGAATCTAGAGTTTCCTTAGAGATATGGAGAAACCCTTTGCCTGGTAATCGTTAGTGGGGGAAAATGCTAATGATCTGTCATGACCTGTTGTTTAGTAACAGTGGCTTTCTGAGAATGGACGCTTATGCCTCCCCAGGCATCCCGGCCTTAGCTAAAATAGCCTGATCTTTGGACTGTCCCGCAGAAGGGTCCAATGAGGTCTTTTGTCCTGCTTCAGGAAACATAGATCTCATAGCAGGTGTTGACTCAGAGAATGTTCTGATATCAGCAGCACTGAGGGCTGGCTTCTTGTCAGGTTCCTCTGCTCAGTAGCTCCCCAGCCCCAGCCCCTTGGACAGGCAGCTGCCTTTTAGCCTCACTGGAACGCCTTGGTTTTACAGCTCAGGCACCTTCAGCAGCTTCGCACTGGGGATAAAGTTAAGTTCTTTAACTCTTACTAAGGTTAGAAACCCTGTCTGATCTTCATCTATGGCCTCCTCGGAAAGATTAAGGTCAGGGCTGTGGGGACTGGATCTTACCTCTGATAACCGCAGGGGAAATGTGAATCAAGAATTTTGTTTCAGACAGCTAAGGTATAAAGAAAACAGCCAGCCACATCTAGGGACCCACTGTTGGGGGCTTGTTTATAGGTGGGCGGGGCATTAGGAAGAATCCGAGGGGGCAGAGCAGGAAGCAAGGTAACAAGATTGGGTGGAGGATGAGGTTCAGTGTTTGTTTTTTCCAGGTCATTGCTGTTCTTAGATAGATGTGCCGTCTTCTGTGTTTTAGATACTGTTTCTCTCTTTCTAATTATGTTGATGAATGCTAGCACCTACTGTGAGCGTGAAGCAGAGAAGATCACAGAGTGTGTGGAACAGTGCTTGGCTCTGTTCCCGAGGAGGGTGGGGCGCCGCTAACACCTGGCACAGGGTGCGGAACCCTTGCCTGCGACGTATGTTGTTTTCCCGCTGTGTTCTGTTTGGCTTCTGCTCTTGAGGAAAACTGAGAGATGTGTGCTGTCAGACTGGGTCAAGGACAGGTGAGGTCCATTCTAGGAGCCAGAAGCCTGACGTTGTCCCTTGTGGTGACTTTGACAAGGTAACTGGACACTGGGCGGGTGATCAGACAGACAGGGGTAGGCTTAGATTTCTTTGAAATTCCTTAGCGTTTAAGTCATGTCTTGATGAATGGCATGGGTCACACCCAGCCTTTATTTGACTAATACCTCTTCTTGAGGTATCAATTTTTCTAGAGGAGGGGTTACCTATTATCCATAGTTAACTCTGCCAGATGCAGAAGAGGAATTTCTATGTATCTGGAAGGAATTCTCTTAGTGAGCCAGGCTCCACTCATAATTAGCGAGCCAGGGAACACTCAGGGACCAGGAATTTCTAGGGATGAAGATATATTGGTTTAATATCCAAATAACACTATTCCCATTGTACCCATGTACTTGAATATTTCTGCTGTAAATTCTTAAGGCCCAAGATATGATTCATCTGTGATTTCCCTTCTGTATGATTAGATACAGTCCAGGATAGACCTTTCACACCCAGGAACCCTGCTTCTCAGCCCTGACTCCCCAGGGGAGCTTCCACTATCCTGATGCCCTGTCAGCTCTCCGGGCCAATTAGCTGAGTCTCTCTGGATTGGAGACTTTATTTGCCAAATTTCCCAGGTGACTCCAAAGAGCAGCCCCTACTAAGCATGAGCTATTTGAAGGAGAGCAACCTGCTTTATCCACTGCTGTTTCTCCAGAGCTCCACGTAGTGCTTGGCACAAGGGCATTCTGTGTAGCCGCCAGCGCCTCCTATCTCACAATGTGAACAACACCATACAGCACTACTGTAAACCCAGCCCAGAGCTTGGCGCTTTCCAGTTTCCTCACCTGGGTGTTTGCAGTCCATCCGTCTAGGAGTATGACTTGGAAACTGGATTCCCACCTGGTCTCTGCCTACTCCACCCAACTGCAGCAGCCTGGTCCTTCGCTCTCCCTGGGGATTTTCCCACACTGAATGTCTCTTGTGTACATTGGTGCATTTATTTCCAGTCCCCATCAGTGCCCCCCGAGTCGAGATGCCATCTTCAGTCGTCCACACTGCTTTAACAGCTCCTGCATGGGGAGAGGCTACCAGGGTGTATCCCATAGCAACCAAGCCATTCTCTGCTCTGTGATCAAGGCCATCCCTTCAAAATTCAAATGTGGTCCAATCATTAAAATGTTGTTCTTTCCTGATCCACACAACTCCATGGGCTGCTGTGTTCTGGTGTCCTAGGTGACAGGGGCTAGTCCGCAGAGTTCCCTGGTACACTGTACAATAACAATAACCTTGAGGTTAGGCCTCCAGGCCCCTGTGACCTACAAGGCCCAGTGGTCTGGTCCACATCGCCCCATGGTTTCCTACTCTACTTTCTCAGACTTAATGCACTATACCCTTTGTCTTTGCGTTCCCTCTATTAGCTTTCTTATACCTCTGAATTCTGTCTCCATCTACCCTTGGAGCCTTTGTACACCCATTTCCCCTATCTAGAATATTTTCTCCATCTTGTTATTTCTTCTTGCCTGGTTAATTGCTGGTAATCTTCATTTTATGGAACCCTGAGTTGGTGGAGCTCTCATCTCTATGAATGCTCTCTTCGGTCGGTAGTTCCCCTTCCGTTTGGGTTGTTGGACTAATCCCCCACTGCCCACCTCAAGGAAGTGCACACGCAGAGGTGGTGTCTGACTTCACTCATGGTTGTCCTAGTGCTAAACAGAGAGAACAGGGCCACCAAGTAGGTGCTCAGTAGATAGTGGCGAGCTGGACGACTCATTGTTCTTTCCTAACTGCTCCAAATTGTCCTAGCCTAGCCGCTGTATGATCAGGTAGTTCCTCCTATCTCTCTTCCTTGAATGGTTGTGGGAACATGAGGGGGAAGGGGGCTGCCTCTCCTTCCTGAGTTCCATGTGCTTTCTAGAGGTGCCGTTATTTGAAACAGCCTGCATGATATGTCTGCTTGGCTCTATATTTAGCTTCCTCCTAAAGATCTATTAATACCTACATCCATCAGCTGCTTTTCTCTGGTAATCTTTTGATGTTTCTTCATCTCCTAGAACTTCCCCAAAGCCGAGTTAGGGTTTTTGAGGTATGTGTTCCCTCTTGTCTCTTTGGCCCTCAAGGGTGTTTTAATTTTTCTCACAAGAATTTTTTCCTTTGGTTTAATTTTTATTTATCATCATTACCATCTATGTGCATGGCATGTGGTATGGGCACAGATGCTGCCATGCGCATGTGAAGTCAGAGGACAATCCTCCGGAGTCTGCTCTCCCTTTCCACTTTTATGTGGGTTCCAGGAATCGAACTCATGTCTCCAGGCTTGCAGGACAAATGCCTTTAGCCTTGGAGCCATTTTTGCAGTTGTTCCTTCTCAGATTTTAGCTTTCCATCGCAGACCTGGGTCACACTCGGTGCCTCTGCTCACATATTCCTGTCTGCGGTCTCCCTGTCATCCTGGCCTGGTGTAAGTCTCCTGGCTTCTGCAGTAGCCTCCTGGTCAGCTCGACTCCACCTCTGCCTAGTCTTAAATACGCTGGAAATCAAACCCTGCCTCTCGACATTGTTCCTCTGAATCTTCCTAAAACCATAGAAATTAATTGGACTAGACCTCAGTTTCTTGCTTTCATGACCTTCTATGGCCTTCTTCTGTCTCTGAGCCTTGCTTTCCTGATCATATGTAGAATAAAATGCTTGGGCTACGTTGTTGAGAATTCCTCAGTAATATTAATGATAATAGGGATAATAATGGCAATGATCAGATTGGCTGACATTTCTCAAACATCACATAGCCAAGCACCAAGTATTTCATGTATATTTTATCAGTTCACTTTAAAATTATTCATTCCCCCATTAAGCAAACAAAGCAGAGATTTCTGGCCTTTTTAAACTAGATGTTGAAACTCAAGCATAGTGAAGTTAAACCGCAGAGCTGGAGAAGCGACCATGCCAGGATTTAAACCCAGGTACACTGTCTCTAAGCCCTCACTCTTCTTTAATATTTTATACACTATATGATATATATTTTGATCATGTTTTATCCCTTTCCAATTCCTCCAAGATCCTCCCACTTTCCTACCCACCCAATTTTATGTTTTTCCTATCTCTCAAAAATCAAACACCCCAAAACAAAGCAAAAACCCAATAAACACACCTGCGCACACACAAAACTCACAATAAACATGTAAAAGACCAAGACAAAAAATGCTGAAACAAAGCAAAATGATACAAAAAGTCTACAAAATTCCCACTGATTTGTGTTGGTCAACCACTCCTGGGTGTGGTGCCTGCCCAGAAGTGTGGCTCATATGCCCGGTAGGACTCCAGTGGACAGAACGGATTTTCCTTGACAGTAGGTACCACTTGCACACAGCTTCTTGTTTAGGGTGGGAGCTGTATCCACGTTGCCCTCTCAGTGCCGGGACCCCATCAGGCTAGAACCTGTGCAGTCTCTGTGAGTGTGTCTGTGTGTCCGTCCTGCTGTGCCTTGAAGACACTGTGTCTATGGAGTTAATCCCTCTTCTTTGTTCTTACAACCTTTCCACCTCCTCTTCCACATAGATCCCTCATGCGTGGGGAGAAGGGGTCTGATGGAGACATCCCATTTAGGACAGAGTGCTCTAAAGTCTCACTCTGCACACTGTCCAGTTGTAGGTCTCTGTGTTAATTCCCGACTACCACAAGCAGCTTTTCAGACGATGGCTGAGCTATGGGTATAGCAAGCAGTACGTCATGAAGAGTTATTTTATTGCTATGCTCACTTAGCAGAATAATAGTTTTCTACTAGAATCCACAACCAACCTCGTCTATTCTTGGTCACTTTAACAGTGTCAGGTATAGGTTCCATCTTACAGAGTGGACCTTAAGTCCAATCAGAAAGTGGTGGGTTGCCCCCATAACATTTGTGCCACTATTGTACAAGTTTATCTTGCACTGTTTTAGGTTGTAGGGTTGATAGCTGGGTGATGTTTATCCTTTGGTAAAGTGCAAACTACCTTCCAGTACCATGAATGTTAGTGAGTAGGGGTGAAGCCTCTAGTTGGGCAACCAGCTTGATGACTCCTAGTTTTGCAACATTTCCAAGTGTTGTTTTCAATAGGGTCTTACCATCAGTTTGTGGAGAGCAACCAGTATCCTTGGCAACAACCTTTGATGCTTCCGAGTTTCCAGAGGGCCCTTGTTGTAATTAGGAGCAGCGGGGCTGTGTCCCGCCACCCAGCTGCCCGCACGGCTAGCTTTATACCCAAAATAATTACACGGAAACTGTATTCTTTTAAACACTGCCTGGCCCATTAGTTCCAGCCTCTTATTGGCTAGCTTTTACATATCGATCTAACCCATTTTTAATATCCCTGTAACACCACAAGGTGTCTTACCAGGGAAGATCTTAACCTGCATCTGTGTCCAGTAGGAGAATCATGGCGACTCCTTGACTCAGCTTCTTTCTCCCAGCATTCTATTCTGTTTACTCTGCCTACCTAATTTTATGTCCTATTAAAGGGCTAAGGCAGTCTCTTTATTTAACCAATGAAATTAACACAAAACAGAAAACTCTCCCCCATCAGGCCCTTTTGGCCAATCACTCTCACTCAACACAATGTAACCCATTCCTGGCCCTGGAGGGTTTTTTCTTTTTCAATTTATTATTATTGTTGTTGTTATTTTTTTTTTTAAAGAAAACAAGGCACTGGAGGTTTTAGTTGGTGGCATAAGATGTCTGGTTGGGGCATTGTCTCCCCTGTTACTTTGATGGCTCCATTTTGATTCCTTTCGTAGATGTATAGATTTTAGAAAGCTTCTACAGAAGTAAGTTTTCATATGGTTTTTCAAATGCTCTTTAGTGTTAGCTGTCCCCCACTCCCTCCTTTACCAGTCTCTTCCGTATCCCTTGCTTTTTAATCCATCTAAATAGTTCCCTGTTGTCTCTCCATAACAATATGTTCTATTTCCTCTTCCTTGGGAGTTTCTCCTCCCCCCAGGCCCTTACTAGATCCCTAGCCTTTGTGGTTCCTTGGGTTATAGCACACATATTGACAACTTAAAAGCTAACATTCACATATAAGAGAAAACATTCAGTATTTGTGGGGATTTTTTGTTGTTGTTTTGCTCTGAGATTATGCCACTCAGCATAATTTTTTTTTTCTAGCCGGAACTTGAGATAGATAATTCTCAGATTGTTTCCTGAGAAACGACCCCACTGGTTTCCATAGTGACTGTACAAGTTTGTATGACTACCAGTAATGACTAAGTGTTGCTCTTTCTCTGTGTCCTCACCAGCATGCGCTATCATTTATGTTACTGATGTTGGGCATTCTGACTGGCCTAAGATGAAATCTCAGAGTAATTTTAACTTGCATTTCCTTGATAGCTAAGGATGTGGAACATTTCTTTAAGTGTTTCTCAGCTATTTGTTGATTCATCTTTTGAGATCTCTTTGCTTCATATTCTGTATTGCACTTTTTAATTCAATTATTTGTTTTCTTGATGTTCAGGTTTTTTAGTCCTTTATATAATCTAGAAACATCTGCTGGAAGGTTAGGGTATCTTCCAGCAGATGTTTAATTGGTAAAGATATCTTTCCATTCTGTAGACTGCTGCTTTATCAGAATAATGGTGTCCTCTGACATATAGAAGCTTTTCAGTTTCATGAAGTCCCATTTATTAGCTGTTTTTAGTGCCTGGGCTATTGATGGCCTGTTTAGAAAGCCTTTGTCTATGCCAGTGAGTTCAAGGCTATTCCCCCTTTCTTTCTATGAAGTTCAGGATACCTGGTCTTAAGCTGATATATTTGATCCATTTGAGGTTGAGTTTTGGGTAGGGTGATAAATAATGATCTAAATTCATTCTCAGTTTTCTATTTGCAGACATCCAGT